TGTTGTAAGCAAAAGATGAACCAAATCGACAGTTGCTGATGAAAACAAGAATGCACGATGGCGATGCTGTGTCTGCATGGGCCTCGATGCGCATTTGACCAAAGGGGTTGTTGGTACATGCATTTTGGAGTGAGTTTGTCAAGGTGTTTTTTTTGCCTCCCCTTTCTCCGTCCACCTTCTCTCCCTTTCCTCATCCCCCTTTGTCCTGCTTGCCTTTTTGTCCTCTTCCTCCCACCCACTCTCCTCCCCTTCCCCTCGGAATTCCCGTTGAGAAACCACTTCCCGTCCTTCCTTCCGTCCCTCCTTCTCTCTCCCCTTCCCTCTCCCCTTCCCTCTCCTCTTTTCTTCCTTCGTCCCCCCTTTGACGATATTCATGCGTGGAATTGGGAACTTTACTTTGCACATGCGTTGCAGAAAACAAAAACAAAACATACATGCACACAGGGCTGGAAACCTTCTTGTCTGCGCACAAACACAGAAGAATAATTGGGCGTACGAATGCGTTCATACGCGTCCGGCGCACCTTTCCATAAGAGACATTACAAGTTTGTGCTTGGTCTTTTATTTTTCTATACACTGGCTCACGGCCGTGTCATGTTAGTCAGTTTTCGTGGATCTCTGTGTCCTGACTACCGACTATTGTTTTCTGTCCTACTTTGAACAATTTTTTTTTGAAAGACGCGTGGTGTCCCTTTTTCCCGTTCTGTTGTTTGCTTTTGCACGGAATTTTTGTTTCTGGTCATGGAGACTCACTCATCCGGGTTTTACTATTGTCACGTTTCTCGCACCCCCGTCTGTCCCCCAATCATCTTAAGACCATCGGGGTCGCGCAATTGAGAGACAGAAAACAAAAGAAAAGAAAGAGAGTACGAGCGAAGGTTCGTCTAGGCAAACGGCCAAAAAAGGTGATGTGTGTACCGGTGTGTGCCCCGATGGAGTGTGAAAAAAGGCAAGCAATTGAAACATAGGAAGCAGGGCACAATAACAATAATGAATGGAAGGGAGAGAGACATTGTTATTATACTTTCGGTATACGGTCGGAAGGTTTTGGTCGCAGAAAAAAAATGAACTGAGACGGATGAAGCAAAGATAGCAAACAAAAGCGATAATAATCGACAAAGAGACTCTTGAACTGGATGGCCATGGACGCTAAAGTGCCATCTAACAATGCAACATGGAGCCGTCGTGGGACAAGAATGAGAGAGCGAAACAAGTCAAAAAGAAAAGGAACAGGGAGAAGGGCTGGCAGAGGAAAGGGAGAGAAAGGGAGTAAGGAGAGAGAGGGAGAACTACAGGAGTGGAGTCGAATTGGGTGCAATGGCACAATGGAAAAACGCACAAGCAACAAATAAGAAACAAAAAGACAGATGTGGGACGATAAAATTACTCGACAGAAAAACAACAAAGATATAAAAATGAGATGGGATGATGGAAGCGACGGAGGAAAAAAGTGACCATGACAGGAAAACTGACTGGGCTTACTGGCAATCTGACTGACAGGGCTGTGATCGGGTTGGGAAGTAGATGGATGGATGGAGAGTGTGAAAAAGAGAGGGAGAATGACCGCTGGAAAGACAGACAGAGGAAGTGGGAGGGAAAAGAAAAGAGGAAGAGTGAATAGGCAGCAATTGAATGGGATTGGGAGAAATACGATAATTTACAGCCCATCCATCCACTCGGGGCTTCTTCCTCAAACATGCACGCGTGTGTTTTTTTTTTCTTTCCTGTTTCTATTCTCACTGACAAAGTGAACACCAACAACAAGAGTTAAACAACAAGAGAAAGAGAAATGAAGAGAGAACCACCATCATCATCATCACTACAACTACTACCGCCACTTGACCGACTGGTATTGTTTCCGTTTCAATTGCTCTGTTGCCTGTTGCTGTTATTTGTTGTTTGTTATTGTGCAAGGGAGCGTGTGTGTGTGCCATTTGTTATTGTTTAGCCCGGGTTGGCTCCCTTTGGCGGATGAAGTGTGTGTTGTCTATCCGCTAGTGGTCTCTTTTCGTTTTTTATTACTTCTTGGAGGGAGTTTTTTATATTTGCATTCCAGGATTCAGAGCCTATGAGAGACATTCACAATTGCACACACACACAGTTAGTCGATGGAGGGAATAAGGAAGGGATACGATGGTGTGTATACCTTTTCCTTTCTCTCCCTCAGATTTCGTTGGCTGAATGAGATGGGATAGAGTGGGATGGATTTTGGGCGGAGAGAGAGCTGGAAAACGAGACATAAAAAGTTGAGCCTTTTCTTCTTTTCTTTTGTTCGATTCAATTCATTCACAACAACGAACGAAGGAAAAAGTGGAAGAGTGAGAATGGACTTTGTTTGGCTGGCTGAAAAGAGTATATGTTCACGGTACAACGAGTGACGAGAGACAAATCGAGATATGAGGATGATTATGAGCAAGAGCAACCGGCTGTGTGACAAACGAGGTAGACAAGGGAGGGAAAAAACTATTGCAATCCACAACGAACGGACTCTTTCTTATTATTTGCTTTTTGGGTTGCGCCCTCTCTCATGTGTGTTTCTTTGTCTTGGGATTATTGGGAAAGTGGGAGGGAAGACTCCGTTGGAAATGAGCGACAGTGAATAAAACTGACAAGGGAACAACCAAAAGCGACTATGGCCGAAGTTGAATCGGAAGGATGAGTTAGCGGAAGAAGGCAGAGACGCAAACTCTTTTTTTTCCTTCAATCATTCGTTCATTGCTTGCTTGCTTGCTTGCTCTCTGTGCGAGGGAAAAAGGATAGGCATTGTGATAGTTGAATGGCGAAAGTTGAGTGCGAGTTGACAGGCGACTGACAGCTGAGCTCAACGATAAGTTTGTAGTGATGCGATGAGAGTAAAGGTTAAGAGAGAAAAGGGGACAGTTCGGGTTACGATGTCCGACAGGAGGTGGGCAGTACAGAGTCATTCAGAAAAAGAGGTGCAGTCGATGCATGGACTTGCCTTTGTGTTTGTGTTTTTGTTTTAGTGCAGTTGATTGAATGCAAACTGCAAAACACACCACTACCACCCATCCCCCAATCCGCCATGCCTTTTTATTCGTTTTTGGGCTTTCTTTTTTCTCTGCTCCACCATGGGTGCTTGAGTGTATTTGTGTGAATGAGTGTGTGCGGTGTACAGTAGTGAAAGAGGAAGAGTGTAGTCGGTGCGATGTAACCATTCGACAAGTGTACCCAATGCGATGTACACCCATGGCCCATCTTACCCATATCCATCCATGCCCATCGATGCGTTTGTGTTCGTTCTCCCATTTCTTCTCTTCTTTTCCCTTTTCACTTCTCTCTCTCTTCTTCTTTTCTTCGTTTTCCCATACGCTCTCCTTCCTTTGCATCCCCCTTCCGGCTTCCTATTCTTATTCCACGCATCGACATCCTCTTCGTGCTCAAACCCTACTTACTGCAGACACACCCATCATTCCCTTCCCTTGCATACATACCCTCTCGCAAACTTCGCTCTGTTGCCATTGTACAATTGTACGCCTTCCCTCCACTTTTGTACCTTGACTGCCTCCTCGCTCACTGCAACTTGCTGCAAGTCCTCCACCCTGCCTTTGCAAGGCCAAGGCCACTGAACCTTCCTACAACAACAAACAAACAACTGCATACACACACACTGACCTCCTGTCCGTTGTACCTTCTTTCTTTTCTTCTTTCCTCATCTCGCTCCACCTTCCGATCGAATGTCGACCTCAAAGTAATCTCTCGAAGCGATAATCCTAAAAACACAAAAACATAGGAACGAGTGGTAAGTGAACCAACCAACCCACCTCACCAACAGAACACAAAGCCACAGCTCAGCTCAGGTCGATGGCGATGACACTTTCCTCTTTCCCTCCCTCCTCCCTCTGCCTCGTTGCATTCCTCTCTCCTTTACCTCATTACCACCTCAACTATGACGGGTTGAGTTTTGGTGTGTCTCTTGTCTCTACGGTCCCCATCCACCCTGGTCTCTGTGAGGTCACCAGCCCCGATGGGGTCCGATGATTCACGTTCCATCTCGACCGGAGCATCGTTCCTGTCTGATCTAGCTTTCCTGGTCAGAGAAAAGGGACACTTTTTTCTACCCTTTAACAGCTGTCCTTCACTCATTCCTACTCATCTTTCACTTTCACTTTCACTCACTCTCCCTCCGTTCATTCACCCACTTGCTACCTTTTTTTTCTTCGCTTTTTGTCCTTTTTGAACCCAACTCCACTTAACAAACAGCCCACAAAAAGTATGCACAGTCCGGCTTATTCAGCCCTTCCACAGCTTTTTCACAACGCTTCAAAAACACAAGCGGCTACCGGCAGCACGAGGGAGGGTGATGTAACGCGCATGGTGATATTGCGGGCAGTGAAACGATGGGATGTTGCCTCGCGATCGTATCCATCTGTATGAAATAGCGGACTGCTCCCTGGGACAAGACGACACGATTGCCCCTCTGGGCCTTTTACCGCCACCTTAAGAGGCAACTGGGAAGGAAACGTAAAAGAAGGCGTGCCAGGTGTGGGAAGAGGATATGTGACAAAGATGGTACACACAGGTTGTGTCTGCAAATGACGATCCCTTTTTCTTCACTCTCTTTCCTTCCTCCATCTCCTCACGGACCACTTTCACTGTATTCACCCTCTCAAACCTCAACAACCACTTGGTCCTCTCAACCCCTTGGATTTCCTGCTGCACTCCTGTCTATCAACCTTACTTTCGTTGTTGCTCTGTTTTGCGCTTTGTCTCTTGCCCCTCCTTTTCCCAAGACGCGTCGTGTACGCTGTCCCAAAAGAAATATCATCAGAGTTATCATACACTTAAAAAAACGTCGATGAAACCATCAACTGATCGTACCTGAGCTGTCTCATCGTCCCTTATTCGCTGCGTTCCGCCTTCACGTCTTCCACCCACGTTTAATACTGACCGTGAATACTGTTCCTCTTTTGACTCAGGCAATAACCTCAAGTCGGCCCGATACACTCTCCCAAAAAAAAGCCTCCTACAACTCCTCGTTCATGGACTATACCAGGTCCACTCTCCAGAACCAAGAGCCTAATCTATCGCAACGAGCACCGCTGCATTTGAACCTGCAACATCTTCAACGGCTATCCCATCCATCGATCCAAAGCCATCCTATCGATTCTCCCAACAACCCCTCGACTCCTACGCTCGAGCTTTTATCCATCTCAGAGTCCCCGCTGACTGCGCTTCAAGGACCCCTCCCGAGTCTTCCTCTTCACGTCAGCCCCTCTGTCACCGCAGCCGGACACGCATCGCTGCAACAGCCTTCGCACCAGCAAACTCATCTTCCAACTCCCGACCAGGCTCCTGTGAACTCTATTCTCTGGCCTGTTCAACCCTCCAACCCTCAACCCTTCCATCTCAACAGCACGCCTACGCCCATCATGGAGAGCGCATCATGGACAGGAAACAACACACAGGCGCACCAAACCGTCGGCCCAATTCCCATGGGATTTGAATGGTCCAGAGATCAGAACATCCATTCATCCGACGCTTCCTCAAGACAGATTGGCTTCCAACATGCGTTCCACGCTCCCTCGAGCCAGGGTAATAACGGAAACTCCAACGGAAACCAACATCAACCTCCATCAGCATCCTTGACTGGCATGTCAGGTCCGTCTGCCCTCTCACACGGTCATCTAGCTGGCGAGGTAGGCTTGAGCAACAACCCGATCCCCTCTGGATTACCCACCCCAACGCATCAAGGCGGCGACCATTTGGCATCTTCGATCGCCACTGGAGCTCTTCAGCAACAAGGAGATCTTCAGATTCGAACAAGTCCAACTACGACTTCGCGCGAGGATCTTCATCACAACCCTCATTCGCACCATAGCCAACAGCAACAGCAACAACAACAGCAGCAGCAGGCATCGCAACAACAACAGCAAATTCATGTTCACCACACTCACTCGTCCTACAATCACGGCCAAATTCCAACAAACGATCTTGTATCCCATGAGCAGCAACAGCAGTCGTTTCAGACGTCCAACTATGCGCCGGGTCACTACTACCCAGACCCAGAGCAGCACGACCCTTATGATCATGACCGGATTCACACTGGCGGACTTGTAGGACATGCTTATGGGCATTCTCACGACAATCTCGCTGCGCTCACACCACCACCTTCTGCTCCCATTCCCCAGCACGATCTTCCTCCTCTCCGCACCAGGCTTACAAACACCATCTGGGAAGACGAGCATACTTTCTGTTACCAGGTCGATGTCAAAGGCGTCTGCGTCGCCCGCCGTGCTGGTATGTCACGCTTGTTTTGCCGTCGTTTTGCCAACTTGTTGTCCGCGTTATTTCGACTTGCTTTCAAGTAGGAGACTGACCGTGACCATCAATGCTCATTTGCTCTTGTACCTAGACAACCATATGGTCAATGGCACCAAACTGCTTAATGTCGTTGGCATGTCTCGCGGAAAGCGCGACGGTATTCTGAAGAACGAAAAAGGACGTGTCGTCGTCAAGGTCGGAGCAATGCACTTGAAGGGTGTTTGGTAAGTTGGTTCACTTTTGACCTAGCACGTACCGTATTTGTTTTGACTGTTTAGATCCACTGATGTTAACAAAGTGGCATATATATTGACAAAATAATAGGATTCCCCTGGACAGAGCGATGCACCACGCAAAGGCACATAATATTGAGGAGGGCCTATACCCACTTCTCGCGGAAGACCCCGCTGCATTCTTATACCAACACCCACACACTGCAGCGGTTTCTTCAGGTAATGAGTCTGGCGTTTCCTTCGAGAGTAATTGACCGATACCCTAACGTGCTTTTGCCAGTAACTAATAGCAGCCTTCCTGTCTTCAATCTCCAATGTAGACATGAGATGGACTCCTCAGTCGCAACAACAGCACGGTTCATACCACGACCCCGAGTCTCCAAAAGCACGCCACTCTAACCACCACTTTAATCAAGGAATTCACGGGGACTACTACTCGCACCAGCACCATTCCGTTTTCAGAGGCCATGGTGTCAACAGCGTGCATGGCTCGCCTCATGGGAGCAATGGTTCCGTCTCAGGAGGTAAGAGTGCATGCAGACCAATTACAGATAATAGAAGGGAAAAAATTGGATTGGCATCTACAGCATGTCAGTAACCATCAACTCTTTGTCGAACCAATCCATTACCAGATGAAGACCCCAACCTGGTATCGCCATTCGAATATCGGGTACAATCATCCATGGCTGCAGGTGGACTCATCGGCATCCCTTCCACAGGTGCATCTGTCAACGATGTTCGGACAGGAAACCATCATGCGGCATACTACAGCCACCAAGTGAGCCCAAACCAGTACTATGGTGGTGCACATGTCCAGCAAAAGTACCAGGACCCTATCTTGCATCCAGGTCAGCATCAACTCCAGCTTGGGGGTCCCCTTGCCAACGAATCCTCCCCACCTCTTTTGACCCCTACCCTTGGTAAGCATGTCTTACTACTGCAGAAGTCGGGGAGGGATACACCTATTACTTTCCCTTTTTTCACTCACTATTTCGCGCCATTAACCCCTCCTTCGTTTTGACCTTATTTTTGTTCATTAATAGATGGATCACAAACGCGGTTGCAGCCTGGTCTCTTGTCAGGACAGAAACGCGGATATGGCGCAAACGTGCAGGATGGCTACTATTACCAAGGAGCCCCAAAGTCTCATGGAGTTTCGGACATGTACCAGGCTGATGCAGGCCAGTTCGGTATTCCATCGTCAGGAATGAACTCTGGAAACTTTTCGCCGCCCCTGTCGATGACACCTTCGGAGCCACACTCGCCCATGTCTCAGCATACGGATTCCCAGCTGCAAGGAGTGCAGGGTATGGCTCGCCATGGACATGGATCCGTCGGTCAGCCACTGAACCCACCTAGTAAAAGACCACGTCAAGTCTCCCGTGGCCTCTCCAACACTGCTGATCCTTCCAACAATGGTGCAGGTGGACAATGGTACGGGCGCGAGGAGACCTTTGATCGTGCCGGCGGTCAAACCATGACGGGTTCCCATCATTCCATGTCCTCGAACGACAATCAGGGAGTCGGGTCGGTCGGATACGGCATGGCGAATGAAAACAACGGTGGCATTTACTACGACAACATGGCTCTGACGCAGCAACAGCAAGCTTCCAAGGCGTTTAGTGGGTCGAGAGAAGGAGACAACGGACAGGCTGGGCGTCCTCGGTTTATGCCTGGTGCTGTTCAGACACAGCTTCCTTATGGAACAGCCGGGCCATCATCACCACAGCGATCCCGGAGCAGACTGTCGTCGTTTCAGGATGGCTCGTCGGCAGGAGGACCGATGTCACAGCAGCAGGGGAACATATCACCCTTTGGTCGCATGCAGAATTCGATGAGCCCTGACGATACGAAACAGATTGGCTATGGACGCCCTCCTACGGGGCCAGAAGGAGAGTCGAACCCTCAGTTGGTCAAGGTCGAGGGCGTGTCGACAGCCTTTGGCCATGATCCCTCCAACTGGTCGTAACTTGTCATTTCGAAGACTATTGTTGATGGATGAGAAGGAGAGAGAGAGTTTATGACAGGAGTTGACACACGCGACATATCCCATTACTTTTTATTTTCTTTCTTTTCCAACAAAAAATTCGTGTTCATCCTCCTATCCCCCACTGTTTCAATGACATATTCCAACGGCTTCGTTTTTCATTTCGTTTATCCTTGTCTTCGTCTTCATCCTCACCGGCCGTTGTGGATGTACGTTTCCCTTCGTTTTTTCACTTTTTCACGCAGTGTTCGTTTGTTATTTCCCTTTCCCTTTGTCTTGCTTTGTGGAATGCCGCTATGCAACCTCTTTTCCATTTCGTTCTTATTTCGCTTTTTTAACACGCCTACACACCTGCACACTCGCACTTACATTACTCTTTATTCCCTTTATTTTTCTGTTCTAATGTCTTCTTCCTATTTCTTGCTTCTCCACTACATTCTCTTTATTCCTTTTTGTCGTCCGTTTTCCTTTTGCTACTTGTAAACATCAGAAGTATTATAAAACAAAACACAAACAAAAAAAAAATACATAGTGCATTGCCAGCCCGCATAGTTGCATGAATGAAAAACAATAATAACGAGCAACGCTTGGCTATCTGTTATTTTTCTTGGCATCTCTCTTGTCTTCGTCTGCTCCTGCAGTTCGTTTGTTTCTTTGTTTGCTTGCTTTATTTGCTTATACGCTTTTTATTCCTTCCCACGGCGATCCGCCACTGTCCTCAGATGAATGAAAAATAAGGACAAAGTAGCCCTTTGCCGACGACGTGGAAAAGAGTGTGCAAGCGCGGAAAGAGGAAGGAGATGAAAGATCGTGGTGTTTGGTGCTCCGCCCCTTTTTTTTTATTTTTATTTTTTTATTTGTTCACACCGCCGCACATATAAAGTTGTTTTGTTTTACTATTCTCCTCCTCTTCTTTTTTTTTCACTCACCCTTCTTCCTCCTCCTCTTTCCGCTGTTGCCCTTGGTCATGAAAACTCGAACAGCAGCAGCAGCAACAACTACCACTCACTAACCAGTCAACACAAGTCTACGCAAGCCAAGCCAAGACAACACAAACGAAAGAAGCAATTGACCATTGCGTCCCTATCCATTCTCTCTCCTTTTTTCTCTTCTCCCTTCTCCCGCTTTAACATCGAAACATACTTCCTTTCGACGCACATATACATAAGAGATGCAATCGCCTCCACCCGTCACCTCACGGGCCAACCGTCGCCGCGCCCTCAGCCTTGATAACCCAACAACTCCCTTGCTGGGGTCCATCGGCCGCAGAAGGAGCGACAGGCGGGTCCAGGACGAGGTCGCTCAAAGAATCCACCGTCTTCACGTCGTGTCGCCCTGTCAGTGCTGGTCCATGTATTCTGTCGTCCTCCTCCTCTATGCCCTTGTTCTTGCCAACGTCTATTTTGCCAGGCAGCCCGACAATTTTGTTTCCACCGCCCTGCCTGACCTAGCCATCGGCGACACCATACCAGGTACGACTTGACAGTCATCTATACCAGGGACAACCGTGTGATGGATGTGTGAGAAGAAAAACTAAAACATCAAGGAGAATGGCATGACTAAACAAACCCTTGGTTCCTGATGTCGCATGTAGACACTTTTAATCCCCACACGGCGCTGAAACACCTCGAAGCCATCACGACCATCCCACACCCATTCAACTCACGAGCCAACACTGACATTACCAAAAAATACCTCCGCGACCAGTTCCGAGAGCTGCAGGAGGAAGCGATTGCGCTGGGGCGACGGAACGTCCGATATGACGACGGAGCAGGAGACAATTCGACGTGGGTAAGGCGATACAAGACCCGACAACAGCGGCGCATGGAAGAAAAAGGACTGGTCGAGCCTGTTGACGAGAACGAGGTGCTGCTTCCAGAGATTATGGAGGTAGTGGAGAGCGACAATATGGTGATGTGGATTGGGGGTGTTGTACAGTCCATGGAAGGACAGGTACCCGTGCGTGTTGAGATTGATGTCGACCAGGAAAGTCAAACAGCACTCTTGGTGTCTGCTCACTTTGGTATGCCATCATGCACTGCGAAGACTGTGTTGGTTGTTGATGGAGATACAACATGGCCGTAGACCTCTCCTTACTTATCTTTACATTTCCTCCTTCCAATGCTAGATTCGGTGTCGACAAGCTATGGCGCAACAGACGATGGGGGTGGCGTGGCGGTGGCCTTGGCATTAATTCGACACTTTATCCACCACCCCGTAGAGCATACGCTCATCTTCAACATCAACAATGCCGAGGAAGACGGTTGCCTCGGCGCCGCAGTCTTCATGGGCGCCCCTCCCAACAGCACCACAGAGACAGGCCAAGGCCATCCATGGAAGAAATATGTCAAGGCCTTTATCAATCTCGGTAAGGACACTCGTTCCTTGCTGTTGGTCTTCATTTTGCTCTTTAACATTTGTGACGAAACATTTCAAACGTTTTAATATTTGTTTATCTACTTGCGAAACATTAGAGGGAGCGGGCTCAGGAGGACCTTCGCTCCTGTTTCGAGCATCCAACTCGGATATCGTTCGCCAGTATGCTGATAACGCACCTTTCCCACATGCATCCGTGTTTTCCAACGACGTCTTCCAACTCGGACTCATCGACAGGTAATAAGAAGTCATACATTGGAATTTTTTTTTGCGACCAAGAGCGTATCTCTTGCTGCTTCTATTACCAGTACCTAAAACAACTCGATGGTATAACAACATCTCCTTTTCCGTGGTCATTAGTGACACCGATTATACCATTTATACCCAACACGACATACCAGGACTGGACATTGCCTTTTATCAGCACCGGTCCATGTACCATTCCACCACCGATTATTTACCAATCCAATCCCTTTATCACATGGGATCTAACGTCCAGGCCACCATCGTCGGCCTCTGCAACAGCCTCTACCTGGACGAACTATCTGCCGAGGCTGATGGCAACAAGAAACTCTCGCCCTTCTCGCCTCGCTACTGGTTCTCAGGAAAGGGCATCTTTTATGACATTCTCGGACAGTACATGATCTTATCAGAGCTCTGGACTGCCCTCCTCGCAAACTTTTTGTTCCTTGGACTAGGCCTTCCTATGCTTGCTTTTGTCACTATTTCTGTGGGTCGAGCGATTCGGAGGCGCCAGATGAGTCAACATGTCCCCTCTCGAAGTTCGGAGCAGAGTATTGCGGCCCCTCGACGTAGCGGAGTCGATTCGCCTACCTCCTCATTGCTGGGCGACTCTGATGATGGATACACGACTTTCTCTCCACGGTTGCCTCGCAACCATGCCCACCAACGAGCCGCCATCGCACGCCAGTATTACGACGTTCCAAAGCGCATTGCAGTACTCAGAACGGTTGCGCTTGTTGTCTTAGTGGTTGCGCTGGACCTCGGAGCAGTCTTTGCCGCCTCAAAATGGCAGTGGAACATCAATCCTTTGGCCCGGCACTCTCAACAATGGCTCGTCTTGGCAGGATTCAGCGCCTTGCTTGCCTTTGTGAACACTCTGGCGGTGTCATTGTTTACACTTGTTGAGTCATTGTTGTTTGGCCCGCTTCCCATCGTACGGGGATTCTCACAGTGGATCATCGCACTCGGAATGTGGTGGTGGTTAGTTGTTCTCGTCGTCGGTACTGGAGTTGCTGGATGGGCAGGAGCTGGAGCGTTTTACGGAACAACAGTTCTATCAGTGTGCTCTGCCGGGGCAGCGCTGATCCAAATTATCCTCAACTTTTCGATCCCGGCAGATGGCACAGAAGGGGCAGGAGTTGGCTGGATTGTTGTTCTAGCAACAAGTTTGCTTGTCCCAGGCGTCATTCTCTCGGACTTAACTGTGCTTGTAGCGCATATGACATCGCAGAGCCTGATCAGCTCTGATGGCGGCATTAGTAAGTACACCCATACTCATGCCATGATTGCCCGTTGCCACCACATGAATGTAACGTTGTTGTTAGTGTTAAAACATGCTAACCACGGCGAGGTTTTACTTGTTTTCTAGTGTATATATTGTATGGGTTACTGACGATACCCATCATGCTGCCCATGCTGCCGATCATCTCTCGTGGACGAAACTTTAAGACTGCACTGTTGCTCGAGCTCGCTGTCCTCGTCTCCATTACTTGGTTTCTCTCGCAAGTAGATCCATTCACCGACGCCTACCCCGCCAGCCTCCATTTTTCGCAGTACTACAACCAAACAGCAAACACCTCTTATGTCGATCTTCGAGCGAGCGGCGGTACAGGATTTCTCCAACGCCTCATCCAGGGTGTTTCCACTCTTCAACACGGCACTTATGGCGGACTATTTAACTCGACCTGCACCCCCATTCCCATCGAAGGAGATCTTGACGAAAAGTGTCAGTTTGTACCGAACCGACAGGTCTTTGAGGACGACGGTCGTGATTCTCCTTTGCGAGTGAACTGGATCTCCAAGCCGACACTGGGTGCAGATGGCTGGCGCGAAGGAAAGATTCAAGTCTTGGCCCTGGAGTCGCGGTTCTGTTCAGTCCGACTTCCCAAGACGACACCAGGGCACGAGACACAGGTTTGGATGGAGCGCACGGATGTTCCTCTGTTGGATGTCAACCATCGCCCAAAGTCTCTGTATCTTTACTTGCGGGAGTGGAACCGCCCCTGGACGGTGCATGTACGTGTGAAGGAGCATTCTACAGCAGGTTCAGGAATTCACGATACAGCAGCATCTGGCGGTCAGAGTCCTTACAGCGTCCCCTTCCGAGTATTATGTGGATATGAAGACTGGAGTTCGCACAAGGCCTATGCATCGACCTATAACGAGATCTCTGCGCATATACCCTCCTGGAGCAGGATGAAGAGCGAGTCTCGGCAAGGACTCTTTAGTGTCGGCGTTGACATGATGCTCTAGGCTAGTAGGATAGTCTAGTTTTTGCTCGCATGGACAACACGGCTTTCTTCTATGCAGTCGTTGTAGTACCAGAAGCCCAAAAAAAAAAAAAAAAAAAAAGGAAAAAACCTGTCATTGGTATTCTGTGAAAGCGGTGCCATACTGTCAATTATCATGTTATTGCGGTCGCAAGTAGGCATCGCCACAACTAGTTAAGTTTGTGCTCTGCCTAGGCTCTTGGTGCTCCACTTGGGTTGGGTTTCGACTGAGAAGACACCCAAGATTCGCTGTTATTAAGCGTTCTTGTCTTCTACGTTGGAGTCACGATTCGATTGATCATTTTTTATGGAGCGCTTTATCATCACCCTCGCCTTTGTATCGTCTTTGTATCTTCTTCGTTGCCTTTGTACCATCATTGCTGTTGTATCTTCATTGTCTGCCACTCCCACACCCACTTGCCATCGCTTCTACGCCCCCTTGCCGTCACTCCCACGACCTTTGTCTTCTGGCCACTTCCATGCTATCGCTTCTATCCCTTTACATAACATCTCACACTGCAGTCACCAACCCTCACGGCCGTCTATCGCCATCACTCGCCGTTGTCACCAGACCCACGCTCGCTGTTCACTGTTTCGTCCCCATCAAAAAGGTAAATATAAACTTCCAGTCAGCTCTTTATAAGTTTTTTCCCATTTGGTCCAACATTTCTACTTGTAGGATGTTTTGTCAGAAAAAGCAGCTGTGCAAACCCATTCTGGCAATTGAAGAGTTTTTTTTCCTTGACCCTTGTCATCGTTTGATTTTGAGCAACCAAAGTTGAAAACAATCCCTTGCCATTTGGCTCGTTGACATGCCTTGCAGACTTCGCCTTGTGTTCAACGCTATCTGTCCGTTTGATGTTCTATCGGAAAGCAGCTTGCGAGAGCCTTTTCTGGCCATTGAGGAGATTTCGTCGTTGTCCTCACCATCGTTTGATTCGGGTGACGGATGTCACGCCAAGTCTGCCGGTTTCATATATGTGGTGGACAAAAATGATTAATCATTTATGATTTCGACTTTTTTTCGGAAATGTTAATCCCCCACCGTTGCATTCCTCCAGGTCGGCTGTTGAACTATATCACGTCTAGCAGAGGTCACAGCGGCTTGCTTACCTCGATCATCAATGTGCTCGTCGTTCATCGCGTGGCCTTCAGAGTCTGCAACATCCTTAGCACGCTCAGGATCCAGGAATGATTCAGCATCCTGAAGGTTCTCTTCTTCCGAAAGGCTCGCTGCATCCAGGCCGTCGGCATCCTTAGTCGCCTCAGGCTCCTCAGGCCAATCCAGTTCATCACGTTCGATAAAATTAGCGCTTTTCTGACTGGTGATGCTCTCCATGTCGCCCTCATAAACTTCGGTCGCTGTCGCACCGTTTCGATACCGACCATCGGTTTTGGGTTTCGTTGGTCCGTGCCTGGCTAGATGTCGCTTAAAGTTCGAATCCACCTGCTTGAGACCTGCCTCCTGCACCTTTACTGAGGCCTTGTGGACAGCAATCTCGGTGCTCTTATCCTTGAGTCGTCTGGACCAAATAAGTCATCGTTGTTGCTTTTGAACTGCTCAAAGTCCGGCCGTATTTTTTTCAAACGTCGTTGGTTGATTTTGCCACAGTTGATCAGGTTCCTGTACGCGCGATGGGCGTTTGTCCTGTCGTAGAATTTGAATCGAGAGACGAATGCCGAGAAAGTGACGTGCTCTTTTTCGGGTTTCCGATCCTGGGCCCATTTCCAGTGTTCCTCAGGCGTGTCTGATGAGGAGGGCGCTTTCGCTGACTGTTGTGCCCTGTTCTTGACTTGTATTGATGACATGACGGGTTCTTGAATTGTTTGCGTGGAGATTAATCAGGTTTAGTATTTCTTGTCGTTTTTACAAGCTAAGCCACTACCATATTCCGCTTCCATCCATCAACTCATTCTTCCCTTCCACATTCCTTACTTTCGTACTCACCGCTTCCGCACTTGCCGCATTCGCGCTTACCGCTTGCGCACTTACAGTACTCCAACTGTGTGAGATGTAAGTAGTCTCTTACTCCACTTCCTATCCCTTTGAGCGGGTTGAAAACACTCTTGTCCCTATGCGACCTGGCTCTTGTCCGTGGTGCAAGGTAACGTCCTGCACCAGTCCCTGAGCTGGTTGCGACGAGTGGTGGTCCTACTGGCGCCGGTCATGGAAGTGCTCATTAGCGCCATGGGGTAGCCTTTGGGATGGATACCTGCTTTTCCTTTGGTCTGAAAACACTCTTGTCCCTATGCGACCTGGCTCTTGTCCGTGGTGCAAGGTAACGTCCTGCACCAGTCCCTGAGCTGGTTGCGACGAGTGGTGGTCCTACTGGCGCCGGTCATGGAAGTGCTCATTAGCGCCATGGGGTAGCCTTTGGGATGGATACCTGCTTTTCCTTTGGTCTGAAAACACTCTTGTCACAATGCGACCCGGCTCATGTCCCTGGTGCAAGATATCGTCCTGCACCAGTCCCTGAGCTGGTTGCGACGAGTGGTGGTCCTACTGGCGCCGGTCATGGAAGTGCTCATTAGCGCCATGGGGTAGCCTTTGGGATGGATACCTCCTGTTTTTTTTCGTCTGTTGAAACACTCCAGTGATCATGATGGTTATTTTGTTTTATCACTTTAGTTGCAAGTACTAACTCTATTTTTTTTTGCACGTATAACCCGTGGATGTATGGGTGAATGGCGGAGGCATGGATGAGCACGACGACTCCAGCGGCTAGACTTCATGCCAACAAGCTCTACAGACCAAAAATGTCGATAAGCTTACGCAGAACTGCAACGTCCGCGTCTCAATAAATATCATTCTCAACCTTTTAGAACTGCAGCACGTACTTCAAGTTCCCTAGACCCAGATGTTCCGCTGGCTATGAAGTATAAACGGTATGCAACAAACGGCAAAGTGGCTAAGGAGAAGAGGACAGCTTTCTAGCCAAACGACAATTGGTACGCACCGGTCACTTCCATACTTATAATGTAAAAAATGCACATCAACATCATCTCTTCTTTTGGCCAAACCCACACTTTGTTCAAGAGCGATCGAAGGAGTTCATGGAGCCCTTGTTTTCATTGCTGAAGTGAGGTCCCAAATCCTCAGCAGCGACGTCATCATTTGACGCGACTCCAACCCTTTCCTTTCCTCCAACACATGCATCACTTACCGCCATGGGCCTTTTGGACTGGTACCCTTTCATTCGCGGGAAGGGCAATAACCCTGCTATTCTACACCAATCAGTCCTAGCCTCCCTGACAACAAGCACACGTCGCTTTGATGTGATGGTCAGCTGCTTTCCCGTCATCCAACAAGCCTACTCGAACCAGAACTTGCCTCCGGATGACGCGCACAGGATTTTGGAAAGCGATATTAAACGATTAGGCAACCCACTTAACATGCGTTTATACATTGATGGCTATCAGGCAGAGGACAAAATGGATACAGCCAAGTCACGAGACGCAAAGCGACACAAGCCCTGGACCGGACGGAAAAGAGCATCACTCTGCATCAAGCACCAATCCCTAAAAAATATTCGAGCAGCAGGAGTCAAAGTGAAGTAAATGTACTATTTTTTTTGAAGATCTTTGTTCTTTGCGGAGAGTTAATTGTATTTAATAAATAGGCCTACTCGGAGGATGAGGAGGTCATGCACAGCCATCAAGCTTATGCCAAGCTCTTGAACAGTGGGGAAAAGGCGACGCTCTGGGGACCTGAAAAACCGTGTGATGTTCACTCCTTTGGTGCCCCAGCAGATCTTCACCCGCTGTATGACAGGCCCTTTTTAGTGTATTTTTTAACAATGCTCGATTAGTGCCAAAGTCAAATTCGCAGACACATAAACGCCTGAAAGCAGACAGTCTTACCTCCAATCAATAGCCCGCATATATACTCCTTGCGAAGAGAGTCAACGCCACCAGCCTCACTTGTTCTCGCAACCAAGATGTCATGAAGTTGTCGAGGCAGCTTGAAGACACCTTCGTTGCGATACTTCATGGAGGCTGGGTCCCACACGGTCGCTGACTCCCCAACCGACCAATCGATGCCAGGGGATGATATCGTGCGCCATAGGAAGTCGGCCTTGACACCGATTTTCTTTCTATCAACGGTGCCGATGTCTTGATTCCTTCTGTCCGTCGAGTCATGACCAGTTTTCTCTCCCAAGATTATAAAGGCATCTTTGATGCCTGTGGCGAGACGCCGGCACACCCCCCATGCATTATCCTTCCACCATGTTTCTCCCAACTCTGCTGCCACGGGGAAAGGCGATGATTCAGAGCTTAGCAGCTCCTCCCTGTTTTTGGTTGTAGGCAAAAATGGGCATGATAGTTAGGTGTCCATGTCAATCAACAATAAAATGAAGAAGAGGTAACCACGAGAACTTACCATTGATCCATACAATAGTATATGATCTTGCATTCGGGGTCATCCTGTCGCTTTTCCAAGATCTTTCTCATATCCTCCCTACTGGCAACTTCCATACATTTATCCAGATACTCGCCAGCTCCTTTGCCATAGTGTTCATAAGGTGGAAGATCCGAGATTATCTCTTCCCAGTCCTCCTCAGAAAACAGCACTTTCGTCTTGGCATCATCCAGGTCGAGCATGAAACTGTGAATGGGACTGATAAACATGAAGACCATTAGCTTGTAGCATGTAGCATGTAGCATGTGCTTGTTTATAGGACCACAAGAAAGCTAGACAATGATAAAAGTACCTGAATGATGCGCAGTCCTCATCTGAGCCTGCAGTATATAGCACGTCTTCTACGATCGTCCCAGATGCGAGGATCCATTTTTCTCCGAGCGCTTGATAACGCCCTTCCAACGATCGACGGTTCTTTTTAGTGAACTATAGTCAAATAACAGATATATTAGTAGTCGTCAACGATAATGAATTTCGTGAGTTTCATTCATTGTTCAGCTTGCCGATTTTCTGCACTTTTGTGAGGACGATAGCGCTGGCGCCGTGGGGCTGGTCGACGAGGTCGTTCTAGAAGATAGTGTGGCTGACGGTAGCGCGCCAGTAATCGCCTCGTCTAATCTCACATAATAAAAGGCGACGACTGTCTCTTGATCTACCGACGAACTTCTAACAAATTCTTCGGCAACGCATTCAGCATACCTATGGCCCTCGCAGTTTCAAAGGACTTCAACTGGAATTTCGCGACTCTGGAGACTCTGAAGCACAGGCTTGGAGACAAGGAGGCAGACCAAATCCTCAAGAACATGCCCTACCGCTCGTATGCCGATCTTGTTGAAAAGGTACCTGCAATGGGCTCCAAGAAACTTGATGAGGAGATGGGATTCTTGCCATACCAAGATTTCCGGCCTGCAAAAAGGCGACGACTAGAATAACCTTTGCCATGCCCTCAAATTATTCCTCTATTCCCTACAATAGGCTTTTTCCGCCACATACACTAATTGCACTTCTTTTATCGCATTCGTTCGCATAAAGCTTCTAAAGTGCTCCACAAAAGTGATCCATATCTCTCTGAATCTATCCTTTTTTTTAAATGCTCATCATTCATCTCTGCTATAGCTAGCTGGTCTTAGTCCGTGACTTCGTCACAGGCAGCCTGACTCCGTCAGGTGTGTAAAGAGATAAAAGAAGGAAAGCAATAGAATATCCATACGTATTAAGGTATATATTTGAAGATCGATGATAGTGCGCCAGAAAATTTACCATAGGGAATATTAACTGGCTTTTGGCAGCCAAGCGTTCATAACGACGTTGCTTTTTGATCCTTCGATGTCGGCTCTTCCTATCATACTAAAGCAGAATTCAGTAAGCGTTGGATTGTTCACCCACTAATAGGGAACGTGAGCTGGGTTTAGACCGTCGTGAGACAGGTTAGTTTTACCCTACTGATGAAATGTTGTTGCAATAGTAATTGAACTTACAACTTACAGTATGTTTATCTATTACAGTACCCCTATCTCGGCGCCACTGCCTCTTCCTCCTCCTTCGCCTCCCCTGAGTACTTCCCCAACGTCCCCAATGGTCCTCCAAAGTATTAGCACTTGAATAAAAATTGAAAACTTTCACCCGTATCAAATACAAACATCAGAGATCACAGACCACTGCGTGACGTGTGGAAAGCATAGGCCACAGTAACCGCGCATAATTGACATTGAAAGGAGAACACCTTAAGTAAAATACTCCAATCAATTGATCAACCAAAACGCGATTTCGAATTTTTTTTAAAATGGCCATTTAACAATGTTCTGAACGGCCCTCAGATTCTTGTCATTCATTCTCTTGATTCGTAACCTCATTCATCATAGCTTGCCTTTTTTTTTTTTGCATGAACCGACATCGGATCATCGCCGGAATTGAAATGCTTGATCTTGGTTGATCAATTAATTGGATCGCATGAAGTGGCGAACGATTTCCATGTAAAATTTTACAAGGGTTTAGCACGGAACAAACTGAATACTACTATGTCAATGCACTTTCTACAGGCAAACTGAAAGCAGTTCCATACAAAGGACATGGTATATGATCTAAAGGTCTTTGATGTGCAAAGCCAGCTGTTCTCAATGTAGTATAATATCATGACAAAATGAGGAATCGTGCTAGCTCCATGTAACAAAACTCGATACCTTCTGTAAATGATATAAACCCTTTGTGCATAACCTATTTTCTAGATCACATGCCATGTCCTTTGTATGGAACTGCTTTCAGTTTGCCTGTAGAAAGTGCATTGACATAGTAGTATTCAGTTTGTTCCGTGCTAAACCCTTGTAAAATTTTACATGGAAATCGTTCGCCACTTCATGCGATCCAATTAATTGATCAACCAAGATCAAGCATTTCAATTCCGGCGATGATCCGATGTCGGTCCATTCAAAAAAAAAAGCAAGCTATGATGAATGAGGTTACGAATCAAGAGAATGAATGACAGGAATCTGAGGGCCGTTCAGAACATTGTTGAATGACCATTTCAAAAAAAAAGAAGAAATCGCGTTTTGGTTGATCAATTGATTGGAGCACTTTAGAATAACAGTTCGTACACAAGTGAACAAAGTATCGACAGTGCGCCCTGGAATTATCCTGCAGGGAGGAGAGAAAGAGCCGACATCGAAGGATCCAAAAGCAATGTCGCTATGAACGCTTGGCTGCCACAAGCCAGTTACTTGTAATTTTTACTCAGCTTTATGCTTTGATCATTCTAGTTCATGTCTAGTGCAGCCGCAACTATGGTCGTGATGTAGATGGAGGAGAAGCTGAAGATGTGAACTGAAAAGAATGGTGTGCCAGATTGGCCTAAGGAGAAGCTAAAAGCTCTTGCAGCCACTTGGCAACATTGGCTGGGTGTCATAAGGCAAGGTCGAGTCGAGGCTTGACCTCATGACCTTGCCCATTTAGTAAAATATAAAAAGGCCTATGTTAGTTCTTCACCTAGTATCGCCATAAACATTCTGTCTAGCTCTTTTCCCAATTTCAGCCTTTATTTCTTGACAAGGTCCTCTATCTGTTTCCTTCTACGTCTTTATCTGTTCTCTTGAAACTGGGTTCTTGTCTAGGGTTTGATTGCCACAGATTTTTAACATCAGAAGCGACCTCAAGTTAATGCCCTCAAGGGCCACAGCGCGTTTGCCATTGCCTCTCCTGAAGGCGCCACCAACAGAAGTGCCACCAACAGAGGTGCCACCACCATCAGGAGCCTTAGCAGTAGTAACATTGCTCGGAGCGCAACTTTTTAGCAAAGGAACCTTGAGGGATGTTGTAGCAAAGGGGAGTTATGATAATAAAGTAGTGAGGGAAAGGTGTAGAAAAGGATGTGTCAAGGAGGTGAGCGGGTCAGAAACGTATCCTCTTTATTTTTGTATCTGTCTATCTTAAATAACCATCTTAGCACGTGAGTAAACATGCACCTACTGCAACTAGCAGATGCTAAACATCTTACACATGTTGTGCACGTACATAACATCACTCCCTCTCCCGGAGGATGGAGAGCATTCACGGCTACAATTATGCTCACTTGACTCGAGAGTAGGCTGCTCACAATCATAGCTTGCTTAGGAGGTCATCCATATCCCCCTCCACCAACCACAGACTGCTGTATAATAATATCTGTCAACACCTTTTAAAACAGCGTGTTACGTGAGAGTACAACAAATCTCAGCGGCTTTTTCCTTCCACCAGTCTCCATTTTCTACATTCACCACCACTACTTTGTAACATCATGTCCAAGACTTTCTCAGCTAAAGTAGATGATGTTACAAAGTAGTGGTGGTGAATGTAGAAAATGGAGACTGGTGGAAGGAAAAAGCCGCTGAGATTTGTTGTACTCTCACGTAACACGCTGTTTTAAAAGGTGTTGACAGATATTATTATACAGCAGTCTATGGTTGGAGGAGTGGGATATGGATGGCCTCCTTAGTGGGTGAAAAATCCAACGCTTACTGAATTCTGCTTCAGTATAATAGGAAGAGCCGACATCGAAGGATCAAAAAGCAACGTCGCTATTAAGGCATCTATTCGAATGCGTTCGAATAGATGTCCTAGTCGCTATGAACGCTTGGCTGCCACAAGCCAGTTATTATACCCTTAGGGAATTATGGAGGGGGGGAGAGAGACAGGTCTTGTTTCCAATGACGGCTTTATTGCTTTTGTTGACTAGGACAAAGAGTGTGCCTTTTCTACTATGGTACTAGGGCGCAAGTTAGCTACGGTTCCTTGTCAATGGCGGCCACAGTAGCAGGTAGCACTGACCAAAGGCGGCTATCTCAAGAGCGCCATGAACCTGATATGTGTGCCTGCAGTCACCTTACTAGCCCAGCACTGAGTTCAGGCTGTCCGCTTCCTGCTGCAGCTTCTTCCTATTAGTGGTGAACTCACACCGTCCAAAGTCAATGAGAACGAACCGCTTGATGGATCCATCCCGCTCCACGAGAATGTTTTGGGGCCGAATGTCTCCATGAAGTACTCCCAGACGGTGGATGGCTGAGAGTGCCTTCCTGATCGTTTCCTTGTCAGAGTCTTCCAGGCGCCCCTGGCTGATATCGTGTCCTCTGAAATCAGTCACCAACACCGCCTCCAAGCTGTTTGATACTCCTGCGATTTCCAGCCTGGGGATGACAGACCCTTGAAGCTCCTCAAGGTACTGGTAGACAGTTGCCTCGTGCTTCAGCTCCTCTACAACCGAAGGCTGGTGCCAAATGTCGCATTTCTTCACAACAACATTGCAACCCTGCCACGACGCCCTGTATGTCTGTGCACCATCATCATTGTACACGATAAGCTCAAGCTTTTCAAATGCCGGCAGGGTGACCCGAGAGTCACTTACACCCCTGGTTTCCGATCGCGTCTTGCGCCTATTTGTTGTTGTAAACTGATGTTAATAATTAGACTATAATAATAAACACCACTGCGTCACCTGCATATGAGGACTAGTCAGCTAACCTTAGCATCGACTCGATCCGCTTTACGGGGTTCCTTCCTTTGTACTGCTGGTTGTCATGTCCGCGGTTGTCGAGTTGAGGGTTGGACTTTCGAAGAAATACCTCCAATTCTTGATCACTTGGGATATCCTGTACCCAGTCGTCATGAAGCGCCTCTCGTATAACCCATAGGTAACACTGGAGCAGAGTTGGACCTGTTTTATCGAAGGAGATAGCGAGTGATACTTGTATGTCGATCGCGCTCCGCGCGGTTCGCCTGACAAACCATGTCTTGTTGTAGTTCGACAGCACTCCATATCTGAGTCCGTTAAGTCGCATATACGCACGAGTCTGGCTTAGTGGGTGTTTCCAACGGCGACGGGCAGCAGGATCGGAGGGCAGACTATTGTAGTGCACTACCAAGTCGTCGCAATCAAAGATAATCGGTCTTTTGATTTCGATCGGGAACATCACTGGCTGCGGATCATCAGCAGAACCCTGCGTTCTCCTGCACACGAGGTCAGGTTTGCCACTCTGAAGCACATTAAATTTCCTGGTTCGCGTTCCAGGCGTCAAAGGTCCGACTGCATTAATGTCGTGTGCGAATATTTCATGAAGCTCCTCCTCCACTCGAAATATCCTGTCATCCCTAAACTTAGGTTTTGGATAGCGTGGGGTTCGATCGAGATCCATTCCGCGAACGCTTTCCAAGAAACCGGGCCAAGGTGTGACCGATCTCGGGGGCACCGACATCGAAGGTTCCGTCAATGAGGATTCTACCTGCTCCTCACCAATCGCAGGGCTCGGCACAAACTGCAATAAGTCGTACTCTGACACAATGTCTGCAAAACAATCACGTGTTAAGTGTGTGATGGATGGTTGAAAGAAAATTAAGGAGTGCATAAGGTTAGTACGTGTACAATGGACAAGCTAATGCACAACGAAAGCAGGCGTGTGTGCATTACTGAGGGAGGGCGCTGGACGAGGATGTGAATGGTCTTCTTCGGTGGTGTCTCTGCAAAGACGTCAACAATGTCGTCGGTCGGGTCGAGCTCTGTTGCAGAATCAATGGCGTTCAGGAGAACGGGCTGGTGCTTGTTGGCCGCAATGACGGGGTGCTCGACGTGCCAAAGAGTGAGCTCATCCGCTGCAACATCATCGAATCTGGGTGCCTTCTTGGTCTTGATTACGTCTTTGAGGTCATCGACAGTGCCACTTGAAGGAACCTTGACAGAGAACGCGTTGGAGGTAGCCTCTCCATCAACAAGACAGAACAGGGTCAGGTTCTGAAAGTTGTCGGTCATGGTTCTGTGAAGTATCTATGAAAATGAGGTGAAGAAGGCTGGAAGGTGTAGTAAAAGGAAAAGAAAGAAGAACGGCTAGGGATTAAAAGGGCGTGGGAACGGTGGCAAATGCGATGAAGGTGTGGAAATTGTGGCAATAAGGGAGCGGTGAGAAACTAACTGATAGTAAAGTCGAACAGAGGAAAAAGGCCAGCAAAGAGATGGGAAGAGTGAAGAAAGGGATTTTACGGTAACGTCACTACTTTCATTGGGATCGGGCGCATCAACCCATTCTGGGAAAAGAGGACAATAAAACAGTGCAATTTTATTTTCTAATCAGGACCCAAGAGAACCGTTTGTTTGACAGCACACATTCCATTTGATAGTGAATTTGACAGAAACAACTGATTTGACATTACTCTCTATTTATCCACCTCAAATTGATTATCAATCGTGACAAGTGTAATTTCTTTAGCACAAAGATAACAACACTTCTTGGCTTTCAAATTGGACTGAATGCAAAAAGCTTCGATCAAAGAAAATTAATTGATCTTCAAACACTCGAGTACCCCACATCTGGCAAACAGATTCAATCTTATCTTGGTGCTTGCAACTTCTTTCGTGAATTCATACCTAATTACAGCTCAGTCGCAGCTCCACTTGATGCATTACGAAACAGAAATGAGTCATTCATACTCAACAAAGACGAGAAGCAAGCCTTTGATGCTTTGCGAAATATTATATCAAATGCTCCTATTTTATCATTTCCTGATTTTTCATTACCATTCTATTTCGCCACTGACGCATCGAACGTTGGGGTTGGCGCAGTTCTATATCAATTACCTAAGGGTCCAAAGTACCCAAACCATATCAACTATATCTCATTCGTGTCTCGCTCACTCCAAGAAAGAGAAAGACGATACTCCACAACAAAGAGAGAACTCTTGGCGATCGTCTTTGCTCTTAATCGATTCCATTATTATCTTTGGGGTAGACACTTTGAACTATACACTGATCATAAAGCACTTATGTATATTCATTCTCAACCTGAACTCAATGCCATGTTAACGAACTGGCAAGATACAATTTTGAACTATACATTTACTATCAACTACAGACCAGGTATACTTAATATTCTACCTGATGCTCTCTCTCGTCTTTATCCTCTTGAACTCAAAAAGACTCAAACTAAACAAGACCATCAAACAATTATGTCTTACATGCATCTACTGCAGAACAGTGACACCATTCGCAAAGAAGTGGAACAATCTAAACGATTAGACATTTTATTTAAAACTCATGCGATGGGTCACATTGGAGCAAATACTATGGTCAAAGCAATCCATGAACAGGGTCTGACCTGGCCACATCTACCACAAGACTGTCTCGATTACATCAAACGGTGTCGAGAATGTCAACGATTTAATATTGCAAAAAAGGGATATCATCCCATGAAAGCCATTAGTGCTCAACTACCCGGCGAACATGTTGCCGTTGATCTGGCTGGCCCGTTGCCGATGACCAAGAACAAAAGCGTCCGACTACTAGTGGTTGTTGATGTTTGTACTCGGTTCGTCTTTCTTCGTGCTCCTCAGAACAAAGATGGCATCACTGTCGTTACGGCCCTTTGGGATTTGTTTTGCACTATCGGTTTCCCTAAGATTATTCAATCTGACAATGGCAAAGAATTTGTCAACAATATTATGAAAATCATGTCAACAAACATGAAAATTGTTCATCGTCTTGTAACACCATATCATCCTCGCGGCAATGGTATCGCAGAGAACCATGTCAGAACTACTTTACAAATGATCAGAAAAGACGTCAAAGCACAAGGTCACAATTGGGATGAACATCTCCCATTTATTCAATTATCAATGAACACTCGAACTGTATCATGACATAACTCATCTCCATTCTCATTATTTTTTTGCACGTCAATACAATGGACTCAGTAACTTCTGTGATGAAGAAAACAATCTTCTCTCACAAGAACAACTAGTCGGACGACTAGAATACATGACCAAAGTTGTCTTCCCTGCAATTAAAGAAAAGAGGGACAAAACTCAACAACGAATGATTGAACGCTTCAACAGAACAGTATTACTAAATGAGTTCCCTGACGGAGCAAAAGTAATGACACTTGATCCTATATTTGGTGACAAATTGATACCTACTGTATATAAAAAAAAAAAAAAAAAAAAAGGTCATTTCGTTGCCATCCACTTCACTGCTTTTCTTTGTCTACGAACTCGTGCCTCGTTCTCACAGGGGGAGGAGAGCTGTTGCATCCCAGTGTCTGTCCACTCAGCCCTCATTCTCTATTAAGGGTAGTAGTATTATATATATTCTCACAGGCTCAATAAAGACCCCAGCTTCTTTCTCACCATCTTCCTCTCCCCAGCTGTTCATATCACAACGTCAAAAGCAAAGAGGTATATCAGCCCAATTTCCGGTTCCGGAGGTGGTTGGACAACGAAAGGCGACCCCAGATGGTGAGGACGAGTCAGTCCATGGCATTGAGGCTAGATTGCCTTCTCTCAAAGGACAAAAGGCAAGCCTCGTCGACTACGTCAAAGAACTGGAGTTGGTTGAGACACGTTTGTTGGACTTTTATTCTGGAAGCGACAATCGAAATGGTCTCCGCTATGATCCTTCGAAAGCTGCTCTCATTGGTGTGGGTCTAGGTCAGTTCTCGACAAGTTCCGGGCTATCTTCCCTCCACTCATCCTTCCTTACTTACTTTATCCAGAAGGTAATCATTGCTTTATAATGTTGTTCACCAATCAGCAAACAGCCCTCCATACTTCACATGCGCGAATAACTAACGTACAATTTCTTTATTTAGGCCCGGTCGCTTGGCTACGTGGTGGTAGGGCTCAACGAATATTATACAAGCAAAAAGTGCCCTGGATGCGGACTGTTTGTGGGCCAGGTCGACATCCGACGTTTCTATAGCTCAAAGTGTCAAGTCTACCACCACCGCGATGTCATGGCGGCAGAGAACATAGAAAATATTATCCAAGAGTACCTTGAGCGGCAGGAGCGTCCGGATTACCTCCACCCGGTTGCCGAGGACGGCTCCCTCCCTTGCAAGGCGAAGCGCGATGATGGGTCAAGCTCGAGCACCGCCACGGCTAGCAACACCATCAGCAGTACAAGTGTCCAAGGACGTCGTAAGAGGGCTTCAACTACCTCAACGCCAGAGCAGGAACAACCCCAAAAGTCCTCCAAGTCGTCCAAGTTGGCCAAGGCGTCCAAATCATAGAGTAGTTTATTTCAGGGTGTTCGTCCACGCCCATTAGGACTGGTAGGGGCAGTGGATGCAATGATGAGTCGCTTCGGTGACGTAATTATGGCGCCCATTTTCCCCCAGCCATTCTTTTTCTTCAAACAGACATTAAAACTCATATTCTGCGTCCCTCATTGCTCTTCTCTTTCCGCTTTCTTCACCCTGCCTCGTTGCTACTTTTGCCTCATCACGTTTATCTCACCACTATTGCTTCTTGATCAATTCATCTCTTCGCTTCGCTTTTCTCTCTCTTCGCTTTTCTCTCTCTTCGCTTTTCTCTCTCTTCGCTTTTCTCTCTCTTCGCTTTTCTCTCTGTTCGCTTTTCTCTCTCTTCGCTTTTCTCTTTCTTCGCTTTTCTCTCTCTCTCTCTCTCTCTCTCTCTCTCTCTCTCTCTCTCTCTCTCTCTCTCTCTCTCTCTCTCTCTCTCTCTCTCTCTCTCTCTCTCTCTCTCTCTCTCTCTCTCTCTCTCTCTCTCTCTCTCTCTCTCTCTCTCTCTCTCCCCCTCCTTCTCTTTGCGTCTCTCACCCCTCTCTCACCCCTCTCTCCCTCTTCGGTTCACTCTCACATACACGCGCTCGCAGAATTGCAAAGGTAATTATGAACGGAAGTAACAGTCACTATTTCCTACTTGCAAGCCACGAATACTTGGGGCATTACGCATTGATTCTTTCTCAGCGAATCCTGTTTAGTGCGCGGCAGGAAGGCGGAAAGTGGAGTGCGTAATGTTCTGTCGTCTGACAATCAATATTCTTGCAAAGGAAAATCGCCTATTGAGCTGATGCTTTCTTAGCGAATCCTGTTTAGTGCGCGGCAGGGAGGCGGAAAGTGGAGTGTGGCGTGATTTTTTTGTTATGAATTTGGAGCCAGTCGATGTGATGGTTTAGTCAAAAATATGTTATTTGTCATATTTACCATGGTTTGCTAATACACTTTTTCATCATTACACTACCTATTTTCGATATACTCACCAAGCGTCCTTCGTTGCACGAACTCAACGACACAGTGGCCGCAGATAACGATATCAGCAAAATGGACGACGGCAGCACCAACAAGGACAGAGCCAACCACAGCAACAGCAACCGTACCAACATCGACAACAGTAACCGAGATGATTGCCACCATAGCGGAGGTAGTCGTACGCGGCCATTGATGAAATTCATTGAATGGGCGCGCGAAAGGATCAGAAATGGTGAACAAATTACCATGCCAGATTTTGCGCGATCGTTTGAGTATTTTATTCAGAGTGATGCTCACGCGGCCTTTTGGAGCACTTTGAATTGTTCACTTCTACCCTTTAACTCGAGAGAAGGAGCACTCGAAATGTATGGCACCTGGCGACGCAATCATGGTGATGCTTTCTGGGCCTCTCGATTGGCGATGAAGAAGATCGAGACTTCAACAAAAAGGGCAGTGGGAGAGATTGTCGAAGGGAGCGACCATATCAGGAAGAAAATGATTGACCAATATGTCTCTCAAGGCGATTCGGACGACGACATAGATTCCGACTCTGAGAAGGAAGGTGTGTTTATTCATTCCGAGTTAGAGCCCAGAATTCCCTTTTCCTTCCACCTCCTTCCATTCCTCCCTTCCTTCCCTCCCTTGCTTCCCCCTTCTCTGCTGCATTCACTTCCCTTCCGTTCCCTCACAGTTGCTAATTAAATGTTGACTCCTGTTTTGATTTCAATTTTATCCCTTCAATCGGTAGTAGCTAGCGGATCAACTGTACTACAATCATCATCATCACAACTTCACCCCGCACAGCAAACATTGCCCTTGGCGTCAACAGCATCCATGTACCCGGACGCGCCAATATGTCAAGGAACACCGAGCATAAAAAAGAAACAACACAAGCTAGGAAAATCGGTAAGATAATAACTGCTCTTTACAGCCTTTGTTCTCATGTTTTCGCCATTACACGCGCTTAGCCTTACTATGACATTACATGGGCTAATAGTTTGGCGAGAAAGGTCGAAGGTCTTTTGGAGAACGATATCAAGCGCTGGGTAACAAGTGGGTTCTTCGATCGGGGACCGTAGTGGAGAACGTACTCTACCTGGCTGGGAGCAGGGTCGGTTGCGAAACGTACAGGTGAGAAATTGAATATATGGATTATTGTAATGGGTTTTGATTGTTTCCTAACACGTTCGCCTATTTTTTATTATAGCGCTCTTCACAGCTTCATGCTAGATCTTGATGACCCATCCGTTGAAAAGCTTTTTTCCGAGGACGATTGGAAGGAGATCTTGGAGGACTTGCCCAGCCAAACGCCATATTCAGAAGCTGCGGATCATTATATGGACTCTTTTCATGACGTCAAGAATATTAAAGATCTGGAAAAGGCTTTGAAGAGACGCCCCACTGACGCCGAATCTGTGATTATATATCACTGCCTTGATCAATGGTAATGACATATACCTCATTCAAAGGGCACTTTTTTTTTGTACGAAACTCTAATTATTTTTTTCTTGTTTTTAAAATAGGCTTGATTTATATAAAGCTGTCGACCCATCCCCATTTTCAATTGTTAACACCCTCGGCGAAGCTTGGTGGATCAATAATGCCTGGGGCGCCTGTCTGAAAGTCGCCAATGGCCTTCCACATGCATTCATCCTTCCGGGTGAGAAAACCGGGCATGATTCAGCGGAACGCAAGAATAAGACTATCACGTCTGTAGATCGTCGTCGCATTGGATGCAAGGCTGACCTTATATGGCGCACTATATCAGCGCCAGAACGAGATTGGGCTATAGCTGAAGCTGCTCCCGATTGGGACCCTATCGGGAAGAAATACCGCTATGAAGGAACTTTCAAGCTCCCCAGACAACTCCATGACATTCTATCGGCCAGGTCTTTTGAACTAGGAGAAAAGGACCATCTCCGTGGCGAGTTCGTCACAGGATTGATCATCGGAGGTATTGTATTTTATCTGTTTTAAGGTTAGATGTGTTGTGTAATCGGTGGGGCCATCCACGTTAATGCTTGCTATCTTGTATTTTGTAGGCCCGGTTGTCCAGAGAGTACTTCTGTGTTGGGGATCCAAAGGGGATAATGTGACTCGGTTGCTGAGATCAAAAGAGCGACGGATCTCCTCGTCGGCGGCACAATTGATGGATTCGATATGGGCGATCCACGAGATTCTTCTTTTCAGAGTGAGTACAATCGTTCTAATGCAGTCTACACTCCTTTACTGTACGTACTTTACTAACCCTTTCTCTCAATTTGGCAATAGGCGTCGACCATTCGTTTATATCAGTCTTTTGAAAAGGCGAACGACCAAGTTGCTGAAGAAAAACGCCAGGCACGACGGAAGGAAGGTCGATCAACATCTGTATCTCTCACTAGAAAGGAAAGGAAGTTTAGTTTACTTCATTCGTCCCCTTGAAGTATATCCTCAAACCACTCGTAAAACAATCAATACCCACAAAAAAAGTATTTTCTTTTGCGTAAACGTTTTTGGCTGTTCCTTCAATAAACCATATTCAAAAAGTAACTGTGTGCCTGTCTTATGAACAAGTCAAGAACGAAAGGAGACGAAAATTTCTCGTATAACGGGCTCACAGGCGAACGATGGCAATATTTCTCTTATCCAACAAACGAAGTAACAACATGAGAAGAAAAATTGCAGGCGGCATGTGCAAACATGGACTGTTTGAATCTAAGCTGTTCTTTATTATCGGCAGGTTCAAATGATATAGGATGTAGCCCGACCAGCCCGACGGTGGACATGAAGAAGCTACTGGCTCAGGTTGAACAAAGAAAAGATATGTTTGTTACAATGTTGTCGTTCTCCAGAACTAGGTTGCTTGATGGCGACAGGAGCGGAAAGTAGGAGAGAATACTCATAAAAACATTGTTAAAATTAGCCTCCAGTTTTGTTAGCGACGCGTTGAAGATGCATCTCTTGTTCATCAGATGGTTGCTTTAGTGGCGTTTTGTTATCGCAGTCCTTCCTTGTACCAGTCGTTGTGCACCAACAGCGGATCCTTGAAGACGTTCTTGTCTGCGAGATTACTCTCGTTCCCATCGGAGCAAATTAGTGTTTCTGGCGGATATGGGTGAGGTGAGGTTACTACTGGTTACAAATGAAAAGTGCGTGTAATGGGGAAAAAAGAAGAAACGAAGTTGTTAAGCAAGATATGGTTCGTACAGAGTTCAAACAATTTTCGCGCATTCATGGAAAAAAGTATGTGACCGTGGTGCTAGGTACGTCAAATCAAGAAAGATGCGTTTGACAAAGAGGACTCGACAACCGTTTTTGCTCCGAGCCAGCTATCGAGCAAGTGAGTGTGTATGTGTCGTTGTTGAGCAAGGAAAGGTGGTCAATCAATCGAGTATGAGTAAAAGCGGGAGTGATCCTTTGTATCTTTATTTAAGAAAGAGAGAGGATCTTTTTATGATCCCGAGCGATGAGTAGTGGGAAATGGGTGTATGCTGATTCGATGACAAGGTGAATACGACGAGTGTGAGTGCTGAATGTCAGAAATGAAAAGTATGACGAGAAGGAGTATGGAGAGAAGACGGCTGTTTTGTAAATAAAAATGTAGTTGCTTGCCTGGATACAAACTTACACAAACTCAAGAGCTCCATTAGTCTCACTCACTGATGAACCACATTGACCAAAACAGAGGTGTTATGCTTTCCTTTCACTTTTCTCTTTCTCTTTCTACTTTCGCCTCGCAGAAATCCCATCCCCTCCTTACCTCGTCTCCCTCTTCTCTCCTCTCTTTCTGTTCACATTCTCCCTCTTCAATTTCACTCTCTCCACCTTCTCTCTTTTCTCCTCCCTTCTCGCACTCTGTCGCTGCTCATTCTCCGTCTCTTCTCTCCCACTGTCTCATGTCTCTACCCTGTCTTCCTATACTTTCTCTCCCCTTTTTCGAGAGTGGCGAAAGAAGTGCGAGTGTATGTGTGCGTGTTGATTGATTCTAAGGTCGAATGGGTGAGAATGTACAGTGCTCCAATTAATTGATCAACCAAAACGCAATTTCGTCTTTTTTTTTCTTTCTGAAATGGTCGTTCACCAATGTTCTGAACGGCCTTCAGGTTCCTGTCATTCATTCTCTTGATTCGTAACCTCATTCATGACATCTTGCCTCTTTTTGAATAGACCGACATTAAATCATCGCCGGAATTGAAATGCGGTGAATAAGAAATAAATGACCTAGAGGGAAGGTGACCTTTTGAAAAGGTCACTTTTGGGCAACTGCACGTGACCTTATTTTTGTGGGGGTCTTGGAGGGAGTTGCCCTTGGCTGGCCGAGTCGTTGGCGTCAGTGCCCGGTTGAACAGGGTCGCTTGTCGAGGGAGAGGGAGAAGGGAGAGTGGAGTTTCTCTCGGCAACTCCTGTATCCAAAGGAGTATCTTTGGGGTCAACGGGCATAACTCGAATAGCGGCAGACGAAGAAAAGGATGTATGTATATATGTGTGTGATATATATATGTGTGTGTGTGTGTGTGTGTGTGTGTGTGTGTGTGTGTGTGTGTGTGTGTGTTTGTGTGTGTGTATGTATGTGCTCCCTCTCAATATCGCGAATAAAGACAGTAACTCTCAAGACCTGCTCGTATCGTGGAAGAAAGGTGTTTTATGTCAATAACTATTCTCCAAAGGCTAGAAACTACTATTGCTACCAATGGTCAAAGGGCATAGTGCCTGCCTGCTCGTATCGTGGAAGAAAGGTGCTTTTCCAGATACTCGCAGGCAAGCGCGTAAAATAGCGAAATGGCCACCAGAAGCTAAGCCACTGAGAAGTATGGGGTCTGTTGTCAACGAGAAGAAAAGAGTTGTTTTATTATTTTACACCACTGGAGTGATATTTAACCACGGTGGTGATAGCTAATCACGGAGGTGGTAAGTAATCACGGAGATGATAATTGTTATAAATAATCACGGATGTGGTTTGTTGAGCAGCGACCATCTGTCATGTGGTGATGTGATCGCTAGCAGCACTTCTTCGTTAAATAAAAAGACGGGGTAAAATAGAAATAAAAACCCCGTACCGCAACACAGCTCCCCGCTAAGTTTTTTGGTCCATGAGAGTGAGCGTAGTGGGCATTTGAAGATGTAAGGTAAAAAAATGAAAAAACCTTGGTATTTTGTAGTGGAAGGAAAAATAACCTTCTTCAGTTGTAGCGATGAGGAAAAAATAAAACCTCTTTCAGACCTCGGTTCTATGTGGGTCTATTAGCGCAAGGTGAAAAACGTCATGCTCTAGTTGTGGCACGCGTGCAAAAAACCTTGTCATAGCTCCTATCTCTTTGTAGGGTGGTTATTAAATAAAATTTGTTAGAGCTTCTGTCACAGTATCATAATCTGTTGTGACCCTAGATCATTAGCGTCATCTAACCACTGTCTCATCTAACCACATTATCACCTAATTACATCCCCATCTAACCACATCACCACCTCACCACATCACCACCATCCTGGAGCCCATAGCCTAGCACACATAAATACCCTGGCTCCCCTGTACAATAAACACCATCCGTTTCTGCCTCCTGCTCTTGTCTATCACCCTTCTTCTGTTGCTATTACATGGTAGCAAAAGTAACTTCGATCCATACCCCTCTGCCCTGATCTGTCAAATTTTCTGTTCCTGCTCCAGCTCCGTTCCTGTCTACCCATATTTTATTTTCTCTTTCCACACGTACAGCTCTCTCCTCCTTTTACCATATCCCTACTATCCTTTTTTATTTTCTTACTTTTCTGCACCCTTCCGGCTCTTATGTCTGCTACCGACGAAATTCGCCAGCTCGCCTCTGGCCTTACTGACGAGGCCAGGACCAGGATTGAAACCCTCCTTGCAAGCCTTAGGAGGCCTTTCACGTCCAAGTTATCATATGGTGTTTGTTACATCTCTGTAGATCTCGACAATATCCATAGCGACTATGGGATGAGAATGTATATATGATACCAAGCATATAAGACAACCATTGTAACATTTTTTGTTTAACTATCCTACTAAACACCAACCTATTCTCCAAACAACAAAGTCTTCTTATTTTTCGCACACCACACTCTTGAATGTGTCCATCTACTATTAACCTGTAACCCTCACTGCAAGATTCGCCAGAGTAGTTCTTGTATGTGATCATCTAAAGCACTTGTACTCTCAACTGTATCTTTGGGGCGAAATACAGGGGAGAGATTACATTTTAAAAATTCTTGTGCTGTCTACTGCTATTTTATTCTGTGTTCTGTTGCCCACTATGAAGAGATATGCCAGTTATGGAAGTCAACACTCCGTTCCTTGGGCTTTGGATATTTTTTATATGCCTTTTTATATCCTCTGCACATGAAGGGGTCGCTTTGCTGTTTCCCTCTGCCATTCCAATCTCATTTTTTGTCCTTCCCCTGCAATCATTTGTCCCATCTCCCCTTTTATCTTTTCTTTGGTACCCCTTTCTTGCTTTCTATCTCCCCTGTAATTTTTTTTCTGTCTATCCCCATCTTTTCTTTCCCTGCCGTTGACTTTCACATCTCTCTGGCGTTTTCCACTGGCGTGGTCTCTGGTGTTCATTCCCTGCCCTTTCTTTTCCTTGCCCTTTCTTTTCTTTGCCCTTTCTTTTCCCTGCTGCCCTTTGGAGGCCTTTCAAGTCCAAATTATCATATGGTGTTTGTTACATCTCTGCAGATCTTGACGATATCCACCGCGTCCATTAGAGGAGAGTGTATGTATGATATCAACCATTTAAAACAACCACTGTAACATTCCTTGCGCGATTATCCTACTAAACACAACTACATTCTCCAAACAACAAAGTCTTCTTATTTTTCGCTCACCAATATCTTGAATGTGTTCATCTAGCGGCCCCTTCATGTGCAGAGGATATAAAAAGGCATATAAAAAATATCCAAAGTCCAAGGAACGGAGTGTTGACTTCCATAACTGGCATATCTCTTCATAGTGGGCAACAGAACACAGAATAAAATAGCAATAGACAGCACAAGAATTTTTAAAATGTAATCTCTCCCCTGTATTTCACGACAAAGATACAGTTGAGAATACAAGTGCTTTAGATGATCACATACAAGAACTACTCTGTCGAATCTTGCAGTGAGGGTTACAGGTTAATAGTAGATGGACATATTCAAGAGTTTGGTGTGCGAAAAATAAGAAGACTTTGTTGTTTGGAGAATAGGTTGGTGTTTAGTAGGATAGTTAAACAAAAAATGTTACAATGGTTGTCTTATATGCTTGGTATCATATATACATTCTCCTCTAATGGACGCGGTGGATATCGTTAAGATCTGCAGAGATGTA